GTCTGCTGTAGGAAACCTACAGAACGGGCCAGATACTCCTTTTCTTGGAGCTAGCAGCAACATATTTTAATTCGTGAACAAAATAAACAATTGTTTTGTGTTTGAGAGTTGGTCCTGTATATACGAGAGATGAAAATGACGTCATTTTACGTAGCTGTGGTCGCAGTTTTCACGTGTATCGGACTAGCTGTCAGTCAGGGTAATATGTTTTGTTTATCTTACGAGCATTACATAATGTTTCAGTGACCTCGCTCATGGGTTAAATATTTTTTTGCGGCAGCTATATTTGTATATATATATATATATATATATATATATATATATATATATATATATATATATATATATATATATATATATATATATATATATATATATCAATATTTTTGCAAACTTTTTGTCAACATTCATATTATATTAAATTCCATTTTGGGAGGGGGGAAGACGTTCTTCGTGGGGTGGGGGCTCTGCCACACCGAAGAGATGCCTGGAAGAAACTCTGGCCCCCGAACTTATATTTGATAGTTTATGCGGCCCTCGCCTGAAAAGTTTGGAGACACCTGATCTAAATCAAATTTAAATGAAATAGTTCGTTTCTTCATAACATTCTAAAAGTGGATGATGCCGCCATTAGTTTAGTGTTCTTTCCGTAGTTTAAAGACATGTGACATTTGACGTCATTGTTTATTGCGTTCTTTTCACAACAATAAACGTTTTCCGGTTGCAAAAATTAAAATGGTGTTTCTACATTCGAATATGCATTCATTTTTATTTTCCTTCTTTAAATAAAATTTAGTTTATACATTTATACCGTCCACCATATTATTTTCAACAAGTCCGTATCTTTAAGTTCTCTTTATATCGCTAAACATACTGATCACATCGTCTAAAAAACTTGCGGGCAGAGAGAGAGAGAGAGAGAGAGAGAGAGAGAGAGAGGTGCGCACATGGGTTTTTATATATTAGGATAACACTACGGGGGATGGCAACTCGAGATATTGCGCACCAAGTGAACAGCAAACAACGCGTGGAAAATAGCATAGAAAATTAGTACTTTATAAATTCAAATGCCTTTTTGAGAAATCGGAAAAAGCGTAAAGTACTACTTCCGATCAACGGAAATTACTCAAAATTTAAAAGAAAACAGAGAATTAGTTCTTTTAATTATATGTGAAATTTCGTTTATCTTTCTGAAATAGTACTCGAGTTATATGCTTTAAAAAAACCGAATGTAAAATAATTTCCACTTCCGGTTAACGGGAATTGTTGAAAAGTAGTTATTGTGTTCACGGACACACATACACAGACACACAGACATACAGATAAGATTGTAAAAAAAAGTTTTTCCGCGCAAAACGCCGAGGTTTTGATAAATCTGGATTTAGAATTTTTGTCAAATTAAAATACGCCCGTTATACTCCGAATATGATGAAGTACTGATTTGTAAAACGATGAAAACTGTCAAATACGAGAAAGTAAAAATGCCAGTATTGTGTAAACGTATATTTAAAATTAAAGTGCTTAAGCTTAAACTAACAAAACAAACCTCCAAACAGATCGCTTGTTATGGTGCTTTGTTAAATATAAACTACACAGTGGCGTAGCGAGGTCGGGTGTCACCCGGTGCGGCACTTAATGGTGTCACCCCCCAGAGGCGTAGCGACCCTTCCCGGGGACAAACTTTCAAATTTTCGATTTGCACCCCCCCCCCTCAAGTTTTTCTCTATATATTTTGCTATTTTTTGCCTTGGTGTCACCCCCCTAAATGGTGTCACCCGGTGCGGTCCGCCCCCCCCCCTCGCTACGCCCCTGAGACTACATACTATGTTTTGCTTGTTATGTTTTGTGTTATAATTGTTTACCTCTTGTTGGCGATATCCCCCACGTCTGCTATTGTGATTCACGGCGAATTTATAATTTCTTAGCCTGCCTGAATGACGAAACCTCACCTGTATGGAATAGCCCCATGACGTCCTGTTCTTCAATATGCTTTATCTGTCTTTTTCTTTAGTTCAGTGACGTAGAAAATTAGCGAAATGAGTCTGTGTTTACTGGGGATAAACCCCTCCCCACATACCTTCTCAGACAGTCACACATACACACACACATGAGCACACAATAATAATTAATAGAACGAATAATGCATAATTTAAAAACTAGTTAGCGGTTAAGTAACTCAGGGTTATCCCACTTTAAACCAGAGTTTCTTCCAGGCATCTCTTCGGGGGGCAAAGCCCCCCCACCCCCCCGAAAAATTTTTACCGCCCCCCCCCCCCCCCCCGAACGAAATGAAATTTATATTATTTATATAGAAAATATATACTTTTAACAGTGTCCGCCCCCCCGAAGAAAGTCTACCGCCCCCCCGAAAATTTCAAGTGCCCCCCCCCCCCGGAGAAAAAAGTCTGGAAGAAACACTGCTTTAAACTCTTGTGATACAATAGTAATAGGATTACTTTTAAAATTACTTTTATCAGTAGTTTTATAATTTTTTATTATTGCTTTTATCATTACTTTTATTATTACTTGTATCATTACTTTAAGCATTACTTTTAGCATTACTTTTATTATTATTGCATTACTGTTAGCATTAGTTTTTTCATTACTTTAATTATTACTATTGTGACTTTTATTATTACTAGTATCGTTACATTTATCATTACTTACATTATCATTACTTTTAGCATTATTTTTTTAATACTTTTGTCACTTTTATCATTACTTTGTAAAAAAAAAAAAACTTACGTTTGCAACTTGCCGAGATAAAGATATAATCTAGGCCTACAGTTTCAAATTATCCTGGATACCAAACAATACATGCTGTTGTCATGTATACCTATACATACATAAACCCCTGCATATACACACGCACATGTACGGACATGCACTTGTATACGTATTCGTACACGAACACACACACACACTCACACATACACAAACAAACACACACGTATGTATATGGTGCCCTGTCAAAACGGCCCGGGACAAATCGGCACCGTCAAAACGGCTCCGTTAATATGACCCCGTCAAATCGACCCCCGACAAAACGACCCAGTCAAAATAGCCCCGTCAAAACGGCCCCGACTTATTGGCTCCCGTCAAATGGGCTCCCGTTATATTGACTCGCGACATATAGGCTCCCGACAAATGAGCTCCCGACATTTAGGCTCCCGACAAATGGACTCTCGACATATTGGCTCCCGACAAATGGGCTCCCGACATATTGGCTACCGTCAAAATGACCCCCGTCATATTGGCTCCAGACAAATGAATGGCTTGACCACTATCGGCATAAAAGTAACCATTTTGTCCTATCTCCACTACTACTATAACCTTTTTTTTAATGCCTGAATGAAATTGTTTTTCATGAACCAACATCAATTGACAAACAAATCAAGCCCTTAACAGTTAAAATCTACCAATTCTAAAATTTTGATAATGTTTAATTTACAACAGTAAAGATCTGTTGCATAAAAGCGAGCACAGAAGTGAAGATGTACGATATACATGATGTTTATAGGATAACGACATTTTGTTTGGTGTCCGGTCAAAAAAAACCCTGGACAAAAACCCCCTGGACATAAACCCCCCGACATAAATATATATATATATATATATATATATATATATATATATATATATATATATATATATATATATATATATATATATATATTGTACATGCACATCGCTCGTTGCTTGAAATAAACAATAACAATCCCCGAGCCATTCTGCTCTCCTACTCTAGACGTCAATGTCAGCGACCCCACACACGTTGACAAATGGCTCTGTGCTGTGCACGACAACCTGCTCTATAATAACGTGTTTGATGGGCCAGCCTATAAATAAATTTGTTGTTATTTTTTTTTTAAATGAAAGGGGAGTATGGCAACTAGATTTGTATACATTTTGAGTGTTCTTTGTGTCTTCAAAGGAACAACTCTAATCAGAAATAGAAGCTGAGATGTTGTTTTTTACCTATTTTGTTATTGTAATTTTTAGTTTTTATATATTGTGACGGGGTAAGTTGGCCTACTTCTATATTTATATTGTGTTGTTATTTTAAAATGTGAGGAAATGCGAATGTATTTTTGTTTGTTTCAAATGTTAAATGTGATCCGTAAAAAATTAAAAGTTAATCTAAAAATGCAAATCCCAGATTTATTAATTAGATTTTAGTTATACTATTCGGATCAAATGATTGGTGTTTTTATATATATTTAATCATGCAACACTTATGTTTCAAACGTTGTTGATTTTTTTTAAATAAAAAAATACGTTATACAAATTGTCCTGCATTCATAGTAGGCTGTAGTTGTACTGAAAAAACTTGTTTTGGTGTTAAATAATTTTAAATTAGTTTGTTTTTTTGTTTTTTACGTGTATGATAAATTTATTTATTTGTTTGTTTTGGGTAGCTTTTATGTTAGTCAATTTATGGTTTTATACATACCAGCGTCAGTGCTACATAACTATTTAAATCACTTTTTTATATACTGTTTGTTTATTTTTTTAATCTTTTTTTTTTTGCCTTTAGAATGTGCCGCGGGATGGGAACGCCATGAAGACAGTTGTTACTATTTTACCTTCCATCCTCAAAGATCGTACCAGGAATCGGCCAGGGGGTGTGAGGTAGGTTTATACAATTTTACGTTTTTTCCTCAAAGATCATACCAGGAATCATTAGTTAGTAAATAAACGAAGATATACTTTGAAGATAAACATATTATTTCAGACTGATTCTAAGGCTAAATAAACCTGAATAATTTATTTTTTCTGTTTCTGTTTTGAGCATGCGTCGATGCCTATGTGTTTACGTGTATGTATTAGTGTTTGTGAGTGTATTGTAGAGACATAGTGTGTATGTATGGGAAACAGGATGGGTAACTCATTTAGTCATGTTTATGTTTACAGGAATACGGTGCCCATCTTTTAACGGTCAACACCAAGGAGGAGATGACCTTCATATCTGATTGGTTAACCAAACACGATCAGGGCAGGTAAATCACGATTTGTAATTCTTTTGCATTGTGAGTTGTCCCCCTTCATATTTTAGACAAAGTTGTCTCCCCTAACAAATATTTTTGAGTGGCGTATATTCTCGTTGATATGTTTTCTTATTAAAGCCTAAAATTATAGTAAAAAAATTGAATTCCCCTAAAAACATATAATTTGCATAGTCTATAATCGAAATATCATGTGTTATTCTGTGTAAGTTCGTTTATTTTCTTTGTATTTAAACTTTAAGATTTCTATAGATCTCATTTTACGTTTATTATAGCTTTTAGAACCCATTGAATAAAATCAAGAGCACTTCGGCTGGATTTGCACTAAAATTTGTAATGTCGAGTCGTGTACACTTCATCTATTGTGCGGGTCTACCCCTGTTCTAAAGGTTTACAATGTTACCCGTTCTACAGCCTCTATTTTTATACCCTTAACCCCATTCCTTAACATACCCTGAGCCTACTTACGCTCACAACAATTAGTGCAATCAATAAAAGAAAAAAAAACCGGACTGATCAAGAACTAGTTTAATAGCATAGGTTAAGTAGATTTGTTCAGTTTCTATAAGGTAATACAAAGTTATGGATTGTGTTAATTTATGCCAAGTACCGGTTCAGGCTGAGTCGACTCAAGAACACTAGAGTAACTTTAAGCGCAGGACCAGTTTAAGGCTGACATCCTTGACCTTTTTCTGCTAATCTTTCTCCGTATCACTCGATAGTTTAGGAGTATCTCGACGTCGCGTCCTTCGCCATCGTAATTATACATCCGCGTAAGTCTATAAATAAACAATGACGTAACTAGCTGACCTTGTACCTGCTTGATGTTATGCAAAAGAGTAAACATGTGTACACCAATAATGTCTGGATCAGAGGTCAAGGCCATGTCTAGACTACACCCTCTTCTACCCACTAAAACTACTCAACTACTAATAGTATTGTTGACATTTTTATACCAATAAAATTAAAAAAAAATGCTCTTCGTTTTCATAAATTTCTAATAGGTATTTAGAAAAAAATAGTTAATTAAATAAGATAATCAGTTTATAACGTTATAAATGATCAATACGAAGCCCTTCGGTCGACTCATCAGATTATAACAGCATAAATGTTTAACAAACAATGCTTTAAGGTCAAATCAACAGTTTATACCGACATAAATAACCAATAAACAAAGCCACGAAAAAAAAAGTCTTTTCCACTACATCCAGTTCCAGTACAAATTGAAAACAAAACAAAAATCTGATGGCACCCATTAGCGTAAGCCAGTTAACCGTCTCTACTAGTCAGTGGCGTAGCGAGGTCGGGTGTCACCTGGTACGCACCGAATGGTGTCACCCTCCCCCCCCCCACTCCCACCCGTAAGAAAAAATTCAAATTTTTGTTTTCTTCCGAATGTATTTTATTTCCCTTCGGCCAACCCCCCCCCCCTCACTCCATACATGGATTAGCATATAGGTTATTACGATTCTCAACCAAACCGTTTTCTTCAGGCATATATATTGCATCGTTGAGTTGATGTAACCCCCCCCCCCCCCTTCCCCGCCCCCATCACCCCCACGGTGATTGCTTTAAACTTTGCTTAGATAATACTAACGATTTGTATCTATATTCGGTTATAAATTCAGCTGGATGTTGCATGTTTTCTCTATCATTAGCAAGTTTACATCATGTTGTCACCACCACCACCCCCTCTACCCGTGTCGGGATTCGTCCACTTTGCTCTTAAAAGACTATTTAATTCACTCTAATTAACCATTTAATTAAGTGACATTGTCATTTTTCTGTATATATTTTGCTATATTTTGCCTTGGTGTCACTCCAACTAAATGGTATCACCCGGTGCGCCCCCCCCCCCTCGCGACGCCTCTGCTACTAGCGTTTGTTTGGCCAGACCTCCTAAAGACCGCACGTATATTATGGGCAGCTTGCTTTAAAACAAGTCTCTAGAACTATCTAGACAGAACCTATCATTCACACTGCCAAGTGTTTTATTCTGTTCATAGAGCGTTATTGACACCTGACTCACATAATGATTTTTTTTATATTTAAATTACCCAAATTAGCCGAATTAGCTTTACATAAATTACATAAATTGTCCGAATTAGCTTTACATAAATTACGAATGATTGAATGATAAAATAAATCATTAACCGTTTTAGTTCTGTTGAAAACAACTTTTATGAAGTTTTGCTTGTTGTGGTGGAATACAACGACATTTACTACAACTGTATCATTTGTTTAGGCCTACATGATTACATCACAATCGTATACAATAATTACAAATGAACGCGATTTTTCCTAAATTATAATAAGTGTAAGCAGCGGCGTCGCTAGGTTGGGTGTCACCCGGTGCGGCACCTCAGGGTGCCCCTTTTTTTTGGAAATTTTGCAGTTGGTGTCACCCCCCTCCCTGTAAAAGCCTTAAAGTGTTCACATTTAATACTAATGATTTTACCTATAGTCGGCTGTTAATAAAGCTGGGTGTAGCATTATTTTCTCTATAGTTTGCAAGTTTACGTCATGTTGTCGTCCCGCCCCCCACCTCCCTTGTTGGGATCGTCATTTTGTAATTAAAATACTTTTTAACACTAATTATCCATTCACTGACCCATGAAAAAAAAACACGTATTCCATAAGACGTAAGTCTTGCTATTTCTTTTGTCTTGGTGTCACTCCCCTAAATGGTGTCACCCGGTGCGGTCCGCACCCCCGTCGCCCCTGCCTCGCGACGCCTCTGAGTGTAAGGGTTAATATTAAAATTGTGACAGATTTGAATAGTATTTGTTCAAAGTTTCACAAGGGACCAAAAGTGAATGAATATGAAGAAGTTTGAAGTTTGAGAGCTTTAGTTACGGTTATTGATAGTGTACGTATTATGTAACACAAATTCCACATTGTTACTAACCCACTATCCCGCATAACGTGATATAACATTCCCATAGCCCAACACCGCTACAATTTATGTTTACCATTCCTAGGAACCACTATATCTTTCACACGCACATACATATTATTGTATACAGAGGGCCAACATATTTACATACATAGATAACTTTATTTTTCACCCAACATTGATTTTCATTGACTGTTCTCTGTCCTATATCTTTATGTTTTTTATTAGCATCGTCTAATATTTTAATGCATCAAGAATCAAAATACTTTTATAATATTTATTCGATTGTTGTTTTTTTTCATCGGGTATGTGATTCAATAAAAAAAAAAACTATAGAAGACCATTGAAGAAATTACGAATTTAATAACACAAAATAGTGGGTTTACGGGCTACGGCATTAAATATTTTTTGAGTGATACCGTCAGAACCTATGCAAAGGCGCCGTGGCTAATGGCAATAATTTACTGCGACAGTGTCAATCTTGGGGTCCCTAACACCCCCCCCCCACCCCCTTCACCTATGCCGCGAAGCTAAATTTTTTGGCATGGAGTAAACTCAACATATTTCTAAAACATGCATAGATTATTTTGTTTTCTTGCCTTTTTTAAAATTGCGCACGCACGCACGCACACACACACGCACGCACACATACACGCACACAAATAGAAAGTGGAGAAGTTTAAAGAAAACGTTCTATGTAGAGGCAGTAGAAAAGTGTAGTGCCTACATAGTAAGACGGTGTCCCAAACAGTGGCGTAGCTAGGATTTTTGGGCCCCTATGCAAAAAGTGTTAGTGGGCCCATCAGAGGCGTAGAGACCCTTCCCGGCGAACGGGGACAAACTTTCTATTTGCACCCCCCCCCCCCCTCAGACTTTCGATTTGCACCCCCCCCCCCCCTCAAACTTTCGATTTGCACACCCCCCCCCCCTCAAACTTTCGAAAAAGGACCCCTATTTGCCTTGGGCTTACGCTAGCTTTACTGTAGCTACACCACTGGTCCAAAACACGTGGCTAGTAAACAAAAAAACCTTCAATCTGCAGATTATAGAAATGCGGGAACAAGGCAATATCTATCCGTCAGTTATCCTCACCCCCGCCAGAGATCAATTACCCCCTGTACATTACCTCACCCCCACCCGCCCCTACCTCGACGTTTAACTAATTTCAATCGGACATTGCCCCCTGCATAGTACAAACCTTTTCTTTGTGCTCATTTCAAGACAGTGGAACAGACACGTTTAGGTTAAGGATAAGTTTTAGTGTAAGGGATAAAGCTAGGAATACGTTGGTGGATAGATATAGGTGTCATATGGATTCTAAAGGTGGAATTACCCGGGGGGGTGGGGAGGGTAACTGATCTGGGGGTAATCATCGGGGAGAATTGGTCAATGGGACGTTGAGGGGCGGGGGGGGGGGGGGTTAAGGCAAAAAAAAAAGTAAATGCGTTTGTCGCCACAAAAGTATTTAACTGATTTTATGAGCGACCAAAATCCTTATAAGTTAAAAAATGTTGCTGTTGTTTTTTTTTTCTTAGTTTTTGTGCACTGAAAATATTTTCATTTAAGTTTTATTCATATTTTTAATATTTTTTTTTTATTTTGCCCTGGAAAACCCAGGTAAAAATAAACGTCTACATATGCAATTGATTGATGAAATCTAATGCACTGATTAGATGATTAATGCTGTCAAATTGCGAGATTACCGATATTACATGAATAATCCATTTTATAATCTCTTTAAAAGGCAGGTATTAAACATTTGCTTGAAGGCGTTCATAAAGTAAAAAGGAGAGCAGGGTTAAAGTTCATATGCTAGTAAAGAGTTTAATTCGAGTTTAATACGAAATAATCCAAATTTTATTTCTTACTAAATAGCTGGATTGGGTGGTGAGTAGCGTGATAGGTTATATGATGCTGCTTATTAATCCGTCGATGTGGTGATTTTATTTTTTTTGCTATGTTCGACAGTGTTAATTCAGCTACAGTAAAGTACATGGTTCTGAGTAATAACAATATTAAGAAGAAGAAAAAAGAAGGACAAAACATTATGTTTTACTATTACAATGGTAATGTTTAGTAAACTTATCTAGATATCGAG